TGTCATATGACTAAAAAGGATATTTTTATTATGTTAAGTTCTTAATTTAAATAGAAGGAAATATCATCTTGTCTTATCAAAGAAATGAACTAAAAGAAGATGCATAAACTTAGAAAATTTGTGTTAAAAAAAAATAATAAAGTAGTATGTATATTAAAAAGAAATTAGAATGGCTATTGCCAAAAGACAAAAAAAACTAGAGACTCTTAAAACTAGACTAAAAGCAAGAAAAGATTTGACAAGAGTGAAGAAGGCTTCACTGTTGCCTCTATATATACTATCTAACTAGGAGCTACATGGTGATGTTCTATAGGACCTCTAATATGTATTGACTTTGTAGGACATATGTCTTAGCTTACAAGGCAAGTTTTCTACGTATGAATCACATAGTTAGCTTGTTCTTTAAGCTACCAACATGTGTGGCACATGGCCAACTTGTTGACTACGTTTCTAATCTAAAAAGTCAATTAAAGACACCTATAAAGTCAAAATAGCATCTATAAAATTTCTATAGAAGATATTATGGAATTAACCTACTTTTATCTATTTTTATCTAAATCATATAGGTAATTATTGCTTTACATGTATATGTCCATGACATGTTGTCCATTCAGCATTGTTTGAGCTTCTAATCTTCCATTCAATTCTATCTAATCCTATGTTTATCTTCATTCAATCCTCTATTCATCTCTTAACTTCTATCATGCCTTTGTTTGGTGTGCTTGTTTTTTTTTTTTTTTTTTTTTTTTTTTTTGTCTATCTTTTGTCTTGTCTTATAACAAAGATAAATCCATATATAAATAGAATAAAATTTTAGAATATTTCTCCTAACTTAGCTAAATCTACCTATATATATATATATATATATATATATGATATATTTTAAAAAATTATAGCTATTGTTTCTTATCTTCACTTAAGCGGCTTTAAACTATTGTTTTTTTTACAAATTAAAAATACTTTTATTTTGTATATGTTACATTAAGTTTTAAAATGAGGCAAAAATTTCTATCAAGTATAAACTTCAACCACAAATTTTACTCTCTAAGCTCTTTAATATATCCTTGCACTCAGACTGTTTATTTAGACATTAGTTTCTTTTTTGTAGAAAACATGGCATTTTATATGTCAAGACAAAAATCTGTTTTCATATTTAAAATTACAAGATTTTAATTCATAAATTTTAAATTTTTTAATTCTACACTTTTTTTTTTCTAGGCAATTTTGTCTATGAAATACTTTTAAAATAGATTTTATTTGTCTACTGTCAATTTTTTTTGTTTTATTTCCAGCTCTATTTGTTGTTGCTCTTCTTCTAGGTCTATAGTTTTTTAACCATTTGTAATACTTGTCTTCATTTATTGTATTTCTTTGTTAGAATAAGAATAAGTAAATGCACCTTAATATAATATACTCAATCTTGAATATTGAATAGTAACATAATAATTCAACATTATTGATTTCTAATATTTCATTGCTATCTTATATATAGATGTTATTGAAATGTTATGCTTTCTTTCTTTTGCAATCAACTTCAATATACCTACCAAATATTGAATTTTGTTTCTATCACATCACATATTTTCTTGGTTTAATTTTTTTTTTAATCTTATCTCAATAATGGTCAAAAAATCCAATGTAGAATGAATTTATGGTATAATTAAACAAAATGAAATTAGAAATTTGAATTATAATAATCATTAATAAAACACCTAAATTAAAGACAAAGTTTAAAAAATATATTGTAAAGTTAGGTTATATATAAAATTACATGATTCTAAATTTTTAAATTGAACTTGAATTTTTAAAATATATATTTAATAACATATTAATTCTACTAAAAAAAATAATTTAACAATTGAAAATAATTCTTGTGAGTAAGATTCAAATTTTTAAAATCAAATAAAAGACAGAAACAAGTAGTGTTAATGGGGATCGTTACGTACAATTATAGTCAATGTATAAATGGCTTATCAACATGATAATATTAATACCTATTCTATTTTCTCAAATAAAAAATTAAATTCAAATTCTTTAATAAAGAATTGAATCAACGTTCCTATCTTGTATGCTTCATTGCTAAGTACGTATCATTGATAATTTAATTAACTCTCACTGTCAGAATAACCCTTTTTTTAATTTTTTTTTTGTTAAGTTATATTTGGTGTAATTTTTCATGTGCTTATTGATATCGTTATTACACTAATGAATCAGGTATCCTGACTAACCTTACAAAACCTTTAAGTATAAAAATTAACTAATTTTGATTATTTATCCTTATAATCTGATCTGATTATTTTTTATGAGATTAACGTTTTACATATTACTATAATACTATTATTTTTAAAATCAAGAATAAAAATCAAAAAATAGCAATGATCTAGAATTTCTTACCAACAAAGATTTATAGATCTTAGAACCTCAGTGTCATTTTGCAAAGCTTAAAATGATGTATTTGGAACAGATACATATTGGATTAGATATGTTAATATATTTTAATATTTAAAAAATATTTAACTTTACGTACAATCAAGGATACTAGATTCTTTTAAACAAAAGAGTATGTATGCATGAAATTCTAGATATAACATTATGATTCATATACTGAAAGCAAAAAAAAAAAAAAATAAGTATATTTATGTTCAATTTTTAAGCTTCATATTGTAATTTTTTTGTTCAGTTTTTTTAGGAAATTCTGATTAATTTATATTCAAATTTTCATGGTGGATCAATATGTATATAAAAAGTATAGGTAAAAATTTTGAATCTTTAAATTATATAACTTCACATCGTATTACCTATTATTTTATTATAATTTAAAGCTTAAAATGATATAATTTGTTTGTTTTTGTTTTGTTTTGTTTTGTTTTGTTTTTTAAGATTGTATAACATTAGTTCTTAAAGAACTAATGCTCTATTAGAGATTTGAAACTTTAAGAAGAATTATGCAACTTTAAAAGCTCACATGTCTTTTCAAGTCAATTGTTAGATCTATTCATTCTATTTTATGAACAAAAAAATCAGTATTTACTCTAAAACAATTAGACCTTGGTGTATTTAGAAACTAAATTTTTAATAATTTATAACAACAATATCAAAAATAAAATACAATTGGTTTTATGTATATGTATTGAACTTCCATATATATATATATATATATATATGGATATACTAAGTTAACTTATGATAATTAGCTATCATCTTTTTTTGATTTTTTAATTTTTTTGATTTTTTATTCAATAAATTAAATTTAAGAAATTTTTCTAATCAATTGTTATTTAATTATATTATTTTAATTTCATACATAAATATTTAATAAATACAACAAATCACTAAAGATCAACTACAAAGTTTCAAAAAAACAAGAAAAAAAATATATATATATATATATATATATATATATGTGTGTGTGTGTGTGTGTGTTAACTAACAGTAATTTTTTATGCAAGTTAAATTATAAATGTATATTATAACTTTTAATTTTTTATTTAACTGTTTTCTAGAGTTATTATTAAATAAGATGTATATCTTGTTTGGTTTCAGATTTGAGATGTCTTTCCTTGTTCATATTCCAATTGTTTATAATTCTACCTAACTAAACAAACTGGCAAAAGAATCCAAAAGAGAATTTAAAGATAGTAGGTTTGCAACAAGTTTATTTGCAGTTGTATTCATACTAAATATGAAGTAAATGATTTCAATAATGATAATTTATCATATAACTAAAGGTATTTGATGGTTCCAAGGAATCTGCAATGAAAAGTAATTGAATCGTAATTTGAATCTAGATTTTATAGTTATATTTTTAAAATTCAATAAATTAAAATTGTATCCATCATCTATTACATATTAACTATATCAATTATACAATACATTATCATTGTTCTTATACGATGCATCAAATAATTAAATAAGTATAATCATTCTTTCCTTTATAAACAGAAATAAGTAAATAAAGTATTGTATGAAAACTGTAGATAAAAACCAACACACAAGATTTCAGTTCACTAATCCATTTTATTAAAATATAGCAGGATATCATATGTTTCTTTTTGAAATGTATACTATAAAATTGAATAATGTACAAATTTTTTTTCCAACTTTTTACTTAATTTCATAAATTACTTTTGACAATACACTGGCAAGTTTCTATATTTAAACGTCACACATGGACTAAAAGAAATTTTACTCAACAAAACAATAGTTTAATTCCCATACTTTACATATCTTTTTTCACGAAGTTTCTTCAATGATGAAACCCAGTGTTTCAATCAAAGTAAACTTTGACGGCAAATTAATACAATCAAAGAATTAAAAATTAATAAAATGCATGTACTCTGAAATAAAGTTGCATCACGCAAAATTATTTTATAAGCAAGACCCCGACAAACGGCAACATGATTAGAAATTTGAAGGAATCAGAAATTTTCCATAACACTGATATAGTAGATTTAATTCTCAATACTATAATGTTTATTGGCATAAATTGAATAAATTATTAATTTTATTATTATAACAAAAAAACAACAAAAAAAACTTTTAAAGAAGATATTTTAAAAAACAAAATAAAATAAAGTTTAAAATGTAAAATATGGGTGCATAAATAAACCCATTAATATCCTTAATACAGGTGTCGAAAAACGAAGCCACGATCGACTCTGGATTGGTGCGTAGACCACCGACCAAAAAGTCAAAAGCCACTGGATCGACGCCAACGCCCTGGAATTTATACCCGGACCCACCACTACAAGAAGTATCGATTGAGATCGGGTAAGGATAGTACCCGCCACGGATATGAGTCCCACCGACATCGCTGATGTGGCGTGTGAGCTGGCTTTGACGAGCCTCTCACAGGGGGGGACTGTGAGGCCTCCTTCAAGGCAATTCCAGACCCCCCAATCTCCGTCCGCGAGTTTTGATCCAGGGGTGCCCAGATATTTCCCCAAGTCTCTGTACGGCGTCCACGTGTGATAAATTTGAATGTGAACTCGACAGCTGACACGCATACGTGGCGGGGAGATCTACTTCGGGCGGTTCGGGAGCGTGGGCCTGTCTCTTTCTCTTTTTAAAATAACGCGCCTTTCTCGTTCGTACATAGGCGGGCAGATGGTTCCCATTCTAGTAGACTGGGAGCCACACATACATTGTCTTTGTTGCTTGGAATTTGGACAGTGTCGCTTATTTATCGGCGGAATTCGGATCGAATTGGGAAATTCAGAGCAAGATTTGGAGTGTACTGAAGCTGTAGTGTAATTTCATGCTGCTGAGTTTTACGCTATTTATTCGTGGGCGTCTTGAGTTCATCTAGTGATTTTTCGTGAAGTTGTACAGCGAATTAGAGTTTGTATAGAGGCGATCCCGCAGTTGCTGACTGTAGTGAGATCGACGGGGATAGTACTTGAACGGTAGAGCTTCATACGGCGTGTCAAAGAGGACGGTTGTTAGGACAAAATGGCGAGTCGAATTAAAGAGGGGATTAAGGAGGTACTGTTTGCGTGTACTCTTTTCACAGCTTGCGCGTCGTTGTTTATTGTTGAGTTTTTGGTCAGATTTTAGCGATGGTGTCTTGTAGAAAGTCTGTGAGTTCTCCTCATTGCTGCTCTTTACATGTAGGGATGACTGGTTGTATGGTTCTTAATGTGTGATGGTGTGAAGGTTAAGTTAATCGTGATTTTTATAAAGTTTTTCTGATACAGAATTGTTGTATCTGAGTGCAGTTATTTTCTAATAAGGATGATGACGACTACCGCAGCTCTTACCAGCAACAGCGAATTCTCTCCAGCCAATATGGACACAACACCGCCGTCCCAGTTTTGGAGTTGAAAGTTCCCATGTGTTGCGATAAATGCCAGGAGAAAGTTATGGAGGCGCTAGAGGAGTGCGATGGAGTGAAGGACGTGATTTGTGACCAGTACAACCAGCGAGTAACTGTTACAGGCTTCGTTGATCCCATGAAGGCGCTTCGCAAGGTCAAAAAAGTGAAGAAGAAATCGGAGTTTTTTAACGACGGCACCTATATCAAGAGGACCAGCCATCCAATTGATAATGGCGCTCAAAATTTTCACAGCCGTTCCGTGCATCTTCCCGTAAACGGCAATGTTAAGTCACGCTACACATCTAACCCGTTGATCCGAACGCACTCAAATGGATTCGGTCGGTTCCCACACGAAGGGAAGATGGCGGCCATGGCACACATCGTGCACGCGCCGCCGCCCGCGACTTACCAAGCTCGCCCGCTCGTGCGTTCGAACTCCTACGGCAGGAGAGTGATGAGCCGCCAACCAGCGTACCACGACAGGAGAGAGATGAGCCGCCACTCAACTTTCGGCGACAGTAGAGACAGCGCACTCGTGCCCGTGAACTTTCAGCGGGACTTCCAGAGTATTCGTCGCATGCCCTCGTTTAAGCATTACCATAACCACGATGCGGAGTACATTTCCATGGGCGACGAATTTCGCCCCGCCATGGCAGAGACTCACTACGCCCCCCTCCGCAGTCAGCGTCCCGGGATTCTTCGGCCGCAAGTTTCCTTCAGTAGGCTGCCAGTGACGAACCCTCACTACATGAAGCACATTGAATCAGAGTACTATTAGGTGACCGTTAATTACATACGACGAGTAATTTTTATTCTCAAAGTAGGCACAAGATCGGCGTGTACATTACTCATACAATTACAGTGGTTTTAACTGCAGACTGCATGGTACAAGATGGTAGGTACTGTGAAATGTAACAAGGTTCACAATCAATAGTAAATTCTATTTTTGATAACAACATGAATTCCAATCGTTCAAGAAATTTGTGATATAAGGATCCAGATGTGCAAAACTTTTATTAAAAAAATAATCGACTTAATGCGGTTTGTGAATATCGAGTGTGGAGCATCGACGCTTTTAACATAAAGTTGCAAGTCTCATTATCTTTGTGGACATGCGGACCAGTGTGTCACTGTTCTTTTCGATTTTACGTGGAAAACTTTCATCATTGTGCATAGAGTTTATCCAACTCAAATGCAAAAAACAGTCGGTATTCTGTTGAATTCATCCCAACCGTGTAAAAAGTGGTAGTGAAATATGACATTTTCTTACAAAAATCAAAAATAAAATATTGCTGTCAATTTCTAGGATGTTTTTAGTGATTCAGCGTTCGATTGATATATTGATCTAGATTTAGTTTCAAACCTCATCATATAGTCCCTTTGCATTTCTATATATTTTAACAATTTAAGCTCGAAAATTACTTAGTAGTAACCAGAACACATTGAACCATTTCAATATTCCTGTTAGTTTTGCAACATAAATTGTATATTGTTTCGCCGGAGCACGAGGTCCAATCGCTGAATCTATGTCTTGGTATCATTTTGTCCAGTCATGCTTGTCTGTAGGCTCATAGCTACATGGAGAATCTAGCCAGATTTGTTCCTGTTCGGGGGACGTCATTCCGAGAATTCAACGTCGAAAAAGTTGAGCAGTCACGTTTGAAGAGAAAGAATGTGCAATCACCGCAACACAGTTCCAGGAATGTTTTTAGTCAGCGTCCAACCAACTAGAGTTCGTGACCTTCAAGCAAGTAAATGTTAGTTTACTAGTAATCAGATCAGCAAACTTGAGCTTCAATGGCGGTAAGATCCGGCACGAGTAAAGAATATTGAAGGTTTTCTGTCTGTGATCAATGACCGAGGGTCTGTAGAGATGGATGGCATTCTGAGAACGTATGCAACAAGATACAAGACTTCACACAACGAACACTGGCTTTAGTACATTTTTCAACACACGCATGGGGTAATTCCTCTCACTAAAAAAAAAGGCTACGCTAGCCAACTGCCGACTTCTTCATTGCAGACCTCAGTTCAAAGTATACAATCTCTTCGATTGCAGGTGTCACATCCATCCATGATCACCCTGCCTTTGAGAACTCTAGCTGATTAGTCCACAAATCCCCCCCCCCCCGCTTCTCTACTCGATAGCAAAACTAATACTTGAAGCTGATAACCTACTTCGGAATCATGTACGAGTAATTCACGGAATATCCATGCTGCCGACGAGGAGTGGGAGAAACTACCAAGAATTCAGAACTAGATCTAAGCTTTCAATTTTCTAGAATAAACAATGTACATAGGGTCACTCCTGCCGGGATTGGGAGAGATGTCCAACGCCTGCGGAGGCTCAAACCCACCTGCGTAGTGGAAGTATGATCCCACAATCATAACATGGTCCACGTCGCCGGTGGATGTCCATATGGAGATGGCTTTCGTGAAGAAGCACCGGTTTGAGAAGCTCATGGCCGCCAAACCTCCGGGTTTCAGAACTCGGTGCATTTCCTTGAAAATTTCCAGGGGCTTGGTCAAGTAGTCTACGCTGACGACGTTGGTGATTACGTCGAAGGAGTTGTCTGCGTAAGGAAGGGTTGGATCAATGTTAAGATCTCGGACAACATACTCCGTCAGGACTTCGTTGCGTTTAAGCTCTTCTTCGTTGAGACCTAGCCCGGCGATACGCTCCTGCTTGTAGCCCTTAGGGTAATGGCTGATCCAACTGCTGCACATGTCGAGTATTGCGGTGCCAGGGGTATTGGACGGTGGGAGAGCAGTTGAGTAGTACCTCGTGAGTGCCCGAATTGCAGGGTCGTCAATGTGAGTGACGAAGCGGGGTGCATCGTAGAAGACGGTATCAGGAGACCTGTAAACACCGGCGCTCGTCACCAACATAATCACATGAACATACGCGGCGAGCCGACAAGCTACAAGTTTGGTTGGCAATCTCGTACCGATCAATCAGAATATATCAGATACAGCTTCCAAGCATCACCTCGCAACGAATAAAATTGGCTCAAGGACCTTAAACCAGATGAGTCGACGACTGCAGATGTAATTGGGGGAGAACGACCCTAATCGAAAACATCACCACAACCTATCAACTACGATGAAACCTCTGCCGGGCTAGGAGTGATCTATCCCTACAAGAATCAACCACAGCGAGAATCGGGTGTTTCTCGTCTGCAGTATGCATTGTAGTCCATATCCGCTAGAATTTGGTGGTGAAGAAGATGCGCCGTATTTACATTCTTTCGGCCAATTCGTACACACAAAAACAAAAGCAATCCAACCAAAAAAAATGGGTGTAGAGAGTTACTCGTCGTAGCGTGCGAAATCTTCTTTCGTGAAAGGAAACTGCTCTGGCCATTGCACTTTTTTCAAAACCTCCTCCGCCTCGGACACTCCCGCGGCTTGCGCCCTGGCCGGAACGCTGAACATCATCCCCAACATCTCGCCAACCGCCGCACTCCCCTGCAGTCCAAGAAGAAACCGCCGCCTTGGTACAGAAAGAAAGCCTTTGCGAAGCTGATGCAAGTGTCTCGCCCCACTATTACGTGTAACAGCACATTGAACTCTCTCGCAGCTCGAAGCTCCGGCCTCCACAGCTCGCGCCACGTTCATCAAAGCAGGACTCACCGAGGTGGCCGCCATTCCCAGGGCTCTCGTCATGCCCAAGTTTTACAATCCCACAGCAATTCCGAGTTCGTAGAGACGATTCTGGCCGAAACTGTACACTTCCGTTGAGAATACGAGGGTGGTCGTGCACCAATTCATGAAGTTGGCAGCATAAGAGGATGTGCTTGAGGCCGAGGCAATGTAAGCGTGGCCATCCTATCGTTCTTTCGCCGCAGTGCGTTCCTTTGGGATAGGATGGCGAGAAGTGGGATGAATAAGCGCAGTGATTTGCTGAGTTGGAAAAATATGTGGCTCAGAACTTGTCTTTTGTTTTTTTCTCGCTGCCGAGCCCATGGACGCATCCACAGAACCGTCGCATGTGCCAAATCCTTTTTCCAACGCCATCACTACAGCTATTTGGGAATCTCTGTTGCGCCGAAGAAATCATGACTAATGCGGGGTAACAACCTTGTTGAAATTTGAGTGCCGCTGCAATTATTCGAAGACCCTAAAACCCACGTCTTTGTTGTTGTTCTCCTCTCGTCTTTGAGGATGATAATGAGCTGAAAACTTGCCGCCAGGCATGTTCCCTGCCCTTTTTGAAGTTTCGATTTGAACTGTGAGAGTTGAAGTTCCGTTCTGTAATAGTTCGAGCCACTGGTAGCTGCGTCACCCGAGGGATTCGAGATTGCTCTCTGATTTTATGAGTACTGATTGAATTTGCTCAAGTGGCTTGCATGGTCACCAATCTCATAACTTTGAAATTCTGAATGCGGTTTGTTGTGCTGTCTGTTTTCCTACGCTCGAAAAACTTTCGCCTCTCTCAATAAAAAAAATCTTTGGTCTTGGTCCTGTGTTGAGCTTCAAAACGAGTGGCAAGTGTTCAAAATAGTGGGGTGATGCTTGTACATGATACCTGACAGGAGGTTGTGTAGCCAATTGGGGATGATATTCTATCGGAACATTGAGTCTGTATTGATTTCATAACCAGGATAGGAGAGTGTGAAGACACTTTTTTGAGTTGAACGGTGTCCTGGTTTGCATTTCGCAGAATGGGGGTGGTGATGCCGCTCATTACGAGCAGCGGTTATTATTACAGCAGAAAATGAAGCATTGTATCAGCTTTTTTCACCAAGATGTCGTGGATCGGACAAGCTCTTCCGTAGGCTCAGAAAACGTGCAGCAAACATTTCTTACTAATACTACAACACGATGCTGGATGATCAATTTTCAACCCTGATTCCTGATGCTAAAGCAACATGGTGACCCGCACGTCGAACGTGATTTGCTCATGCTGCTTCGCTTATTCAGCGTTGAGTGATATTTGTCCAGACCCTACCTTAGGATATCGATATTCAAACTCCTGGAAGAAGCCCTGTTCTAATTTAATGCTTAACTTATGAGGATACTTAATCAAACAGCTGAGTTGCTTGCTACAGAATGAGCACCCATCTTATCATACTAAACTCAGGTTCCAGGCAAAACATCGTGCACTCAATGTCTTAACCTATCTCAACCCATCTGTAGTTGTGTGCTCCTTAAACGGTCAACAGCAATCGATGAAATCGTCGGAGCAGTTTTTTGTGGCCGTTGATACCCAAATTTCCCAAATTTAATTCCCGGGATATCGGCAAATATAAAATCAGTAGATTTTATCCCAGTTTAAAATACTGTTTCGTTAACTGTAGGGCCCTTGCAGCGAGCATAACGAAGCTCGGCTTTCCATTTAAAAAAAAAAAGAAAAAAAAGAAAGAAAGAAAGATTGCCTCATCAACTTGAAGCGCATGAGCGTGCAAGTGCGGATTGATGCTTGTCTGTCACACCTTCAATCACGCGAGGGGGAAATTCTTCTTCCCCGTTGCCCGCCTCGACCCCATTCCTAGGATAGTTCCGTCATTGCGGGTCCCTAACAGCAAGGAGGTGGAAGCGTAAAGACGTTAAGAATCCCTTCCCATGTGGGAATAGAAATCATCCTGTTCATTTCGCCCACCGATTGACAACCGCCACGTCGAACAAGGCACAGGAACCCAGTGGCCAGAACGCTTCCACCGCAAGGTTCGGTTTTGACGAGTTCGGGAGGGTTTCGTCTGGAGCGTCGCGTAGGGCTGTAGATCACATCAGAAAGCGAAAAATATGCAATTTAGCAATCCGACGTCGATATATCCTATTCTCAGATATTTTTGTTTAGTAGTGCTCAAATTTTGTCAAAAACAACATTAAATGTGGGTGATAAGTAGGCTGGAGAGTAGCCAACCTCGGTGAGTTGAGAATCCATCGTAGTGCGCAGTTGTGAAGGGATCGAAGCAGGCTTGAGAAGTTTTGTAGCCATGGCGGGTCGAGGAGTGCTCTTAACGGTGCTTGTAGTGTTTGTTCTTGCTGGGCTTGTCGCCTCCTTGCCGCTTAGGGATGTAATTCAGCAAGTGACCGACGGTGTGCGTGTCGATGGGAGCGTGGAGCAGTTTGCGCATGCACTACTTGGTGCGGAGAAGCAGTTCGAGAGCTTCATAAAGGAGTTTGGGAAAGTTTATCACACCGTGGAGGAGTATGAGCACCGCTTCAAGGTGTTCAAAAGCAATTTGTTGAGGGCGTTGAAGCACCAGGCGCTTGACCCCACGGCCAGCCATGGCGTGACGATGTTCTCGGACTTGACGGAGGAGGAGTTCGCGACCCAGTACCTAGGTTTGAAGCGGCCCTCGGCCCTTTCCACCGCCCCAACTGCAGAGCCTCTACCCACCGGTGACTTGCCGCCCAGTTTCGATTGGAGAGAGAAGGGTGCCGTTGGTCCCGTGAAGAACCAGGTAATGGGGTTGATTGCTTGATTTTCATGTAACATTTTTTTCACCGCGGTCGAGATCATATGGCTCTGTTGTTTGAAGGATCTTGCAGCGTGTTAAGCCTTGCACGTTGCTGGCTGTGGTGCAAACCTTGCGTCTCTTCGCATGATGTTGCATCGTTGAAATCACTCCTAGCTTACAATTACAACATTTTGTGTGGTGATTCCGTTTATGTTCTTGGTGTGTGGCTGAGTCTTGTAGGTAGGGCTTCAGTTTCTTAGTTGTGCTGTTTATTCGATGTGGGAAGTCTCAATTATTTTATCTCTTTGATGGTATTTCTTTGGGTTGTTTGTCTTCGAATTGTACGTCAACTAATGAGCTTTGTGTACGCTCAAATGTTGCAGGGAAGCTGTGGTTCTTGCTGGGCTTTCAGCACGACGGGTGCAGTGGAAGGCGCACATTTTTTGGCCACTGGAAAGCTTCTGAGTCTGAGTGAGCAACAATTGGTGGACTGTGACCATCAGTGTGATCCTGAAGAAGCACAAGCTTGCGATGCTGGATGCGGGGGTGGCTTAATGACAAACGCTTACAAGTATGTTGAAGAAGCTGGAGGCTTGGAACTGGAGTCCGACTACCCTTACAAGGGCCGAGATGGAAAGTGCCAATTTAATCCTAACAAGGTAGCAGCTAAGGTGTCAAACTTCACCAACATTCCCATTGACGAAGACCAGGTGGCTGCCTATTTGATCAAGAGTGGGCCCCTCGCTAGTAAGTTTCTCTACTAACTTCCTATCATTTTTCTTTCAACTTTTTGTGCTGTTGATCCTGCCGTCTTTTGTATCGACACAGCTGTGTAATTCTTTCATGCTATCTGTAAACCACGGGGGTATAATTGCAAATCTTCTTCTCATCTGAGATAGACTGTCCACGTTTGGAATTTTGTGAAGTTGGACGATATCAAGTGTCTCCATTTGAAGTGGAGTGCCCTTATAATTGAGATTGTGAGAGCGGTGATGATGAGATTATAACTGGACCGCTCGTGAATATTATTTGTTTTGTGCAGTTGGCATAAATGCCGAGTTTATGCAAACTTACGTGGCTGGAGTGTCATGCCCCATCTTTTGCAACAAGAGGAACCTTGATCACGGTGTCCTGTTGGTTGGTTATGCTGAGCATGGGTTTGCTCCTGCACGCCTTGCTTACAAGCCTTACTGGATCATCAAGAATTCATGGGGACCAATGTGGGGCGACAAGGGCTACTACAAGATCTGCCGTGGTCACGGCGAGTGTGGTTTGAACACCATGGTTTCTGCTGTGGCTGCGAATGTTGATGTGTAAATTATTTCCCCATCGACTGTGAAAGCCCTTGTTTCGTCAATTGAGTCCATAAATTTACAGCACCAAGTCCGTGCTTGTGATTTAGGAATTCAGTGAGAATGAAGGACTTGGCTTACAACACTGTCTGCGGCCTAGAAATAGTATTTATACCTTGTAATCGTGCAGTTGTAGTTGATTTAGCTAAAATCTGGGAACAATTATGTTTGCAGCATCAAACTCTCAAACAATTCTAATGCTGGATGTGGATACCTAGTTGTTGAGAATGTCCTATATGCATGATGTACAGTTAATGAAGAAATGATCCAATAATGAAGAAGACATTTAACTATGCAAATGTGGACTAATAATATAATTTCTTAATGTTTCAAAATTGTAGTTTTTTGTTTTGAGATTGTACATGATTTGAGGATTCTAAGTGTCTTTTGATATATTTACGTGTGTTTATTAAATCTGCGAACTTAAAATGCGGATTGTGTAAGTGTGTGTTTTATGTGGCTTAGTAAACCTTAAAAAGTTATGTATTAGTTTAATTTTTTAAATTTAAACTATTGAAAGATTCTAAATCCACAATCATTAAATTTTATTTATTTGTTGTAGTAACGTTTTAAATAATTTGGTTCGTAAAATGAAATATATTACTAAAGTTGTATATAAAGTTGACGAGAATATTATAACCATGTTACTGGTAAAAATATCTCATTCCATGACGAGACTAAAAAATAACAAATGATATTTTAAGTAAAACTCAAAACATGGCTAAAATATTTATTCGATTATATTAAACTACATCCTTCAGAAAGTATGATCACAAACTACAAGTACAATGAACAAATTAAAGATACATAAAATAAGATTAAAATACAAATTTAAAATTGCAAAGATGGAAAGTTATATTACATCTTAGCAAGTTATTATATTTAGTTTTGAGCAGTAGTTTGGAAGCAAATACAACAAGTTGATATACCTCTTTTTAGTGTATTTTTGAACCAGCATCACACCAAAATTATGTTTTATTTATTATGCTTGATAATATCATTTGAAATTTAGATGTTTTAGTATTCTTTTGTTGTAATATTTTAACAAGGATTTAAATATTTTTGGAATCAATGAAGATATATATATATATATATATATATATATATATAAGTATCAACTCATTTCAAACTTGCATTGTTTTAAGCAAATAGGTAGAGTTTTTATATGTAGGATGTGGTGATTTTATAGACATTAAAAATGCACAAGAAAAAAGGCTTGTCAAAATAAAATTGAATATTATCAAGGTGACTATTTATCAAACACTGTATTAACTTAAATACCATGACAATGGACATAATAGCAATTTTTTTAATAATGCATTTTTCATAAAGCACTTCAAAAGTAAAATTTCTACATAATGATATTTAAAACCTAAATCTCAATTCTTTGTTGCAATATACATATCATGTTAGTAACAACACAAGTTACATCATGCCTTTTATACATGAATCAAAATTTTGTTAAAAATGCATCTATTAATATTATATAATGTTAATCTACAAATGACAAAAACAAATATAACTTTGGTCCACTAATCAATATTCTAATAAATCATAATTAAGATAATATATTATAATATTATTATAATTGGAATACAATAAGAAGTCTATTTATTAAGTCTATAAAATTTTAATATTAAATTGATTACTTTAATTATGTGGTGAATGTTGTTATATTTCTATAATAATCAACAATGCAAAAAGTCTCTTGATGATGAGTTGGTATACTATAGATATAAATAAGGAGAACATTTATTATTTATTTTTATATTTGTACAAGAACATTATTTATTTTTGCAAATTCTGCTATGGGTAAATAAACTATTAGACATTGAGATTAAAAAAAAAAAGAAGGAAACACTTAATCCTTAAGATTATAATATAAAGATTAAAAATAGCCTTAGTCTTACTTTCTTGCAAATTTGTTGGCAAGATCACAAAGATGCTTCTCAAAGTTCTTAAGGCTTGTTGGCCAAGTATCTAAGCTGTAGGATTTTTTTTGTAGTGACTTTTGAATGGTATAAAATTTCTTATATAATTTATTTTTAGTCACAAGGCTTATCTAAAGATATAATATGCACCTTCTCAAATTATACTTCTTCAATATTTTGTAAAGAAAATGTGATTTACTTAATTTATTTTTATTCATTTTAAGTTATTTTACTTATTAACTAATGAATGTAGATGTGATCTTTTATATAATTTGATTAATTATATTTATTGGTTTTTTACTTTATTATCTCTTTTTAATAACTATATCCAACCATAAAAGTAACAATCTATCATTTTGTATCAAAATTTTAAATATGACTAAAATATTTAAAAAAAAAACAAAATCATGTTAATTATGAAATAAAAGTAGTCATTTTGTAAATTGTGTGTTGTTTTATCATAGTTTACAAAATACAACATAACTTTCAAATGTTGCAAACTATCCTCTCTCTCTTTATATATATTCTTCTTCTTTGTGCAATTGGATTACATGTAACTTGTTTGCAATTGAAATCAATTGCAAAACCACTGTTGAATTTTGTACACATAAAAATACATAACTCAAATTTCGTGCATGATACTCACATCACAAACCCCCCCCCTCTTATTCTTTCTTTCTTAATAATATAAATAAATAAATAAATAAATAAATTTAATTTGTAAACCGTGTGTCAATCTTATTATATTGATATTTGAAAGAGTGGTTTCTCGCGAAGCTTGAGATCACACAAATTAAAATCTAAGAGCATGAAAACGATGCAGAAAAATAAACCAACTCTTGGGGGAAAGTAAATTCGAAGATCATTATTTTTGATTTATATGCAAATAAACGAAAAGCTGATAAGCATCGGGTAAGAATATTCCACACACCGACCGGTTGGGTAACAGATTCCGCCCCCAGAATCCTCAAGAGAATGTACACAGTGGGATGCTAATCCACCCCTCTTAATTGGAAGCACAACCTCCTAAACTTGGAATGGACGCCAACGGGGATCGAACCCATGACTGATTCCAATAAACTCCACAGCCATGAAGGGTGATGGAGCATAGGGAACCAGATGGAGGGAGCGGATGAAGACAGTGTCAACCCTCGGATGAATATCAGAACTAATAGATGTCGTGCGTTGGAACATGCCACTTCCACCGACACCCGTTGGCTCCGAGTGAGGGGCCAAGAAGGCTGAGGCGTTCTCTGCGGCGTTCCCAACTTGAGTACACGGCAGATCAGCACAGAATTCTCCTCCTCTTCATTTATTTGCATGAGACCTCGAGCTCTGTTACAGGGTTTGAGTTGTGCGTGAAGTCTACACTAATCCAAACCTGCCACGCCAAAAATTAACTCTGCGACGCGCTAACGTGCAACAAAGGGGGTGAGAGGGGCCATGGCTTTCCAAAACAGTTCCCGGGCAGAATCACCCACCCATCCTGCCAAAGCCATTCAATCCTCTGCGTCCACGCCAACCAAAAAAAGTACTCTCTAACTTTTAATAAGCCTACGTGGGCGAGGATGGATGGATGGATATACGAATGGATAGATGAATTAATGATTGATGAGAGTTAAAACTTTTTTTTTTGATTCTGGCCACTTTTTTGCCTAGTCAATGGTACCCTACGTTTTAGCAGGCCAGTCTGTGTGATGGTGATCTACGAACGACGAACAACCAACGAACGAACAGAAACGACAATGTTATCCTCGTCCGACCTTTTTCTCGGGTGGCGCAGTGGGCAGCCCGAAGCTTGACTCACAAGAGACAATAAGTTTGGGTTCGTAAATTCCACGCGGGGGGGGGGGTGCTAGTCTCGTTTCCCACTGCTGCAAGGAGAGACAGGGTGGAGGAGGAGCATTTGCCTTGCATTTCACTCCCAGGCTTGAGGACGTGAGAACAAGACGAAGAAGTAGAATAAGGCTTAAGGGCCCGTCGCGACCATGCGCAGTCGCAACAAGCGAAGCGAAGCTCGCAAGCTCGCAAGTTGATAGCGGTCAATTTCATGCAGAACTTTGCTGTCACTACAGCAATCGCTCGCAATCGAGCCAACCTACGCCCCTCCTTCGACAGCTCTCATTCTTCCATCGACCTTTTTAGTGTTTTTTTTTCCCTTGAATCTCTCCCTTCTCGGAAGTGTCGCTCGCAGCAATGCTTCTCGGTCTGCCTCTGTGAGCAAGCGCGGCTCGTTTCCTCTGAGGTGAGCACTGACTGGTTGCGTTTTGGAGTTTTTGAGTGGACCAGTCGTGAATCGTGGTGTGGAAAAGCGGAGAGGTGAGTCGAATGTTTTTGGAAAGGGAATTTGGGAGCTGAGAGGGGGTTTGATTCGTGGGGAAGAGGGAGTTGGGAAATTGACTTGGGACTGATTCGGGGTCGAAGTGTGAGAGGAGGTGTGTGTTTCGTGGTTTTCGATTCCATTTCGTGCAGCGCCACGGGAATTTGGTCAGCGTTTGTTTTGGATGCTTGGTGTTGGTGGGGGTAGAATCGGTCCGGGAACCCTAAAAGTTGTGGCGCTTTAGGAGGGGGCTGAATTGTGTGTTTTTGAGTTTGAGTGTGTGTGCAGGCGCGCTTGTGTTTGCGAGATTTTGGAATCTAGTATCGTTTTGTGTTTGTTGCGGGCTGTAGTTCATTTTGTCCATGTTTCGTTTTGGTGTGGGTTGGGATGTTGATTACGTTGTGAAGTGGCGATTGATTGCCTTGGTGTGTTTTTTTGAGACCTTCTTTCACGATATCTGAAAGATGTGCTGTTCCAGTTGCTTTTGATGATCCAGTTTTGACGAATCGTTGTCTTGTATGGTGATGACAGCAGTATCGGAAATAGAGCAGGCTAATTGACAACCTGCGATGTTTGGATCCAGCAGCCGTAAGTTCCCCTTCCTCTTTGATTCAGATATTACAGGTTCAATGTTAGGAATTGCGTTGTGGTGGTTGCAATTCGATACTCGATGATTAACCTGAAGGATGCCGAGGTTGTGGAAATTAGTCACTTGGTTAAACTTGCTCGATCTGTGTACGGGATTGCCACTTCCTACAGAATCTTGCTGTAGTTTGATGGAGTATAAGTAATCCATTCCTTGCATCATAGATTCATTGCATTAGGGTATACTATCACAAGTTTTTCTACGAAGTGTGGTGATTTAGTTCAAGAGAAGATTATGGTCTATTTCTTCTCTTTGGCACTTTAATTTTTGTTTCGACCGGCATACCTCGTCTAAAACTTCGGACGATGCAGCTTGAATAACCTCTTTGCTACTGTTATCAAATCTCCAGTTTCTTGGTTCGTGGATCATATTCATGTAGGGTTGGTAACAGGATCAGAAATTGTTGTGGTAGATTAAAAACGATCTTCGTTATCACATGTCTCCATCACTCCAACATATGCTTTGCAGTCCTCTACAGAAGTTTCCAAGCGTGAATTTGTCTCGAAAATTATAATTTCTGACAAGTGGTCTTGATTTTCTCTGTGTTTGTTCAGCCTTTGGGGCAACAACTCCGAGTCCATTTGGCGCTCCTGCAGCTGCCAATCCTTTCGGTGCAAATCCGAATCCCTTTGGAACCAACACTCAAGCAAACAATCCATTTGGGGCTAAACCATTTGGCAGCACTACCCCAGCATTCGGAGCACAGACAGGCAGCTCTTTATTTGGCAGTGGCACGTCAACGGGTGTTTTTGGAGCCACTCCCACACCGACTTTTGGAGCTTCGGCGTCCTCATCCGCATTTGGGGCTTCATCAACAACACCTGCGTTCGGTAAGCAGTTGATGTCATCTTCTAATTTAGTATCTTCAGTGATTTTTCTTTAAGGATCGACACGTACAAGGAGGCAGTTCTCGATGGGTGATTGTAATTTGATTTTTTGCATATGCAGCGAGCACTAGCTTTTGGTAACATTGTTCTGTTATATTCAACCTTGCGTTATTGTTTGTTCTTCAGGAGCTTTTGGTCAACAAAAGCCTGCCTCACCCTTCGGCGGGTTCGGTACTACTCAAACCCAACCGAATCCATTTGGATCGCCGTCTTTCGGGCAGTCACAACCAGCCTTCGGCAGCCAACCATTCGGGTCCACTACGCCAGCCTTCGGTGCTCAATCTACTCCTGCGTTTGGAAGCACGACAACCCCGCTGTTTGGAGCATCGACTCCTGCATTTGGTGCAGCGTCAACTCCTGCCTTTGGTGCGACATCCACCCCAGCATTTGGGGCGTCGGCTACCCCCGCTTTTGGGGCTTCGTCGACTCCTGCTTTTGGAGCGTCGACATCGACACCTGCATTTGGCGCGTCAGCTCCGGCATTTGGGGGTAGTTCGGTGTTTGGGCAAAGTGCGCCTGCCTTTGGTGCAAGTACGACACCAGCTTTCGGAAGCACACCAGCAGCATCACCGTTTGGGGCTTCTACTGGGAGTGCGTTTGGTACCAGCTTTGGGACACCCACTTTTGGAGCTCAGCAGCCACAGCGGGTTGGAAGCAGAGTGACACCTTATGCGGTAACCAATGACACAGACTCAGGGGTTGGGGCTCAAGCAGGAAAGTTTCTGTGTATATCTGCTATGCCCACTTACAAAGACAAGTCATTGGAGGAATTGAGATGGGAGGATTATCAAGCCGGGGATAAAGGTGAGCATTATTTCATATTTGTTTTTGAGTGGCTTAGGAAAACATATTTCTAGGTACAACTTATTGGAGCAGAGTTTCAAGTGTGTAGTATTATGTAGAATTGTGATACTAGTGTGGGAAATGTTTTTTTTCCTTGCGCTGGAATCGATGATCTTATGTTTTTGTGTTTAATTTGCAGGGGGACCTAATCCAGCTACCGCTACACCAGCTGCAGGTGGGATCTTTGGAAGCAGTCAGCCAGCCACATCCAGTCCGTTCGGAGCAGCCACTACTACCTTTGGGGCAGCAGCCCCTAACCCCTTCGCCTCCAGTACAAGTCTATTCGGTGCTTCCAAGCCTGCATTTGGTACCAGTACCACTCCTGCTTTTGGAGGAACGTCCATGCCGGCATTTGGTTCTACTCCTTTTGGAGCGTCTGCACCAGGATTTGGGACGGCAAGTTCGTCGCAAGCATTTGGTTCGTCTCCGTCTCCGTTCGGGCAAACTTCGGCATCTGCATTCGGGAGCACAACCTTTGGAACATCATCACCTTCATTGTTCGGATCGAGCAGTCCTGCGTTTGGTGCAGGGTCAACTTCAGCATTTGGTGCAGCGTCAACATCAGCATTTGGTGCACAATCAACTTCTGCGTTTGGAGGTGGTTTGTTTGGGAGCAGCCAACCAGCGAGCAGTAGCGGAGGACTATTCGGAGTATCAACATCTGCTTTTGGTGGGACGAGTACTGCACAGCCTTTTGGACAGCAAAGTCAACCAGCATTTGGGTCAAACCTCTTTGGAAGCTCAAGCACTCCTGGTTCCATATTTGGTGCTCAATCAAAGCCAGCAGGATTAACGCAATCTTCGGTATGTGGGTAGTTGGTTTAATAGCGTTTTGCCTTGTTGATTTAAGTTGTGTTTTTTGTGAGTTAAGAGTGATTGAGGTGAGACTTGAGGGATGTAGATGTATCTTGAGTACGTTTTGACCGATTTTGAGGAATGTTTGATCACAGCCGTCCTCTATATTTGGTGGTTTTGGATCAACTCCTGTTGGACAGACGCCGAGTACTTTCAGCTTTCCTTCAAGTTTTCAAACTCCACAGCAAGGTACAGGACAAAACCCTTTGAATTTATCACAGATCTTGGTTTTTTGTGTTAAATGTATGCTCTTAGCCCTTGGCAAATTTGTTTGACATCCTTTGTTGTTTTCAGTAGTTGAAAGTTTCTTGTGAACGAGTAAAACTTCCAGGGAAGCAATTTATGTTGGACAGAAATTATCGGTTCTCAGGGTACTTTGGGTGTTCACATGAATTTGGTGACCTTCTGAGAGAGTCCTAGCCAAGGTGCTCCATAATTTGTAGGCATCTTCGTACTTATCTACTTAATTTTTGTGTTGTGTCGTCGTTTTAAATGCAGGTGCAGGGAGCGGTTTTGGCGTTACGCCGTCCCCATTCGGTCAGCAGACTACATTTGGCGCACAACAGTGAGTGGTTTCTGTTGCTGATTTGACATGTTTGTGTTCTGAGGAGTGCCGTAGGTTTAGAATAGGTGCAAAAGAGATGAAAGCAGCAGTATGTATTAGCATGGCCCCCGTTTTTCGTATGAGGAGTATGAGTTGGGTATTGTATGAGGTGAAAAATTAACAGAATCACGACTGAGTGTCGCTCTCTAAGTATATTTTATTCAACCATGTAAGGTATATTGATCTCAGATTAATGGTATATCGTGGTGTAAAGAACAGTTCACTAGTTTTGCACTAATTAATATCTATGCTACCCGGTTGCCTCCTTCTGACCCTGAAAGTGTCTTGTGCTTGCAGACCTTCTCAGAATGCCATTACAGCCATGCCAACTCCAGTAACCAACCCTTTCGGCACTCTTCCAGCAATGCCACATATAACAATTGGCCGGAGTGCCGGTTCTTGTCCATCTGTGCAATACGGAATTTCGAGTATGCCGGTAGGTTTTGGTTTAACGATTTGGAGTTTTCTATTTTTTCTAAGCGTTTGCAAGTGTGAGTTTTATTAAGTTTTTAATTTTAGCTTTTTCTGACGGTAAGAATATTGCTTACATGCAGATATCAGAGAAGCCAACTCAAGTGCGAGTGAATACTCTGTTAACACCACGGCATATCGCACAGCGTTCCAAGGTTCGCATGCACGCACGGCGATATCATCCTAAAAAGGACAGTGCAAAGGTGAAATTATGTTACTTTGCTCTACACCCGATGCTTATCATACCTACTTGTGTGATTTCTTTTGAATTATGTTTCTGTTTGATAATTTAAGACGACGAAGTGAATAAAATCTAGGACAATACAGCTGGCGGGTTTGAGCTCTTATTTCTCGACACATGTTTCTTATTTTTTCTTTGCGTCCCACTATTTGGTGCATTCAAGGTTCTAACACCTTTCCACCATGTGGCATCTGTAGGTATCTTTCTTCAGTGATGGTGATGAAGCTCCTTCAACTCCAAAAGCAGATGTCATGTTTGTGCCACGAGAAAACCCACGCTCGTTGTTCATTTGGCAGCCAGAACCATCTCCTGTGGCTGCGGTGAAGAGAACACCTGACATCCGAGAGTTAGCTACACCTGTACAAAATGATGGTGAGTCTCCCTCCATCCCTTTATTCGGCAAACTTCCAGTAAGTTTTGTGCGGTAAGAATTTTGGTGATTTTTAATTAAGACATATTTTTAGTATCAGTGCACTGTGAAAGAGTATTTAATGGCATGTATGTGCTTGTGTATGGACCTTTTGTCTATAATGAGATGATGTGTGAGATCTAAGGAAAGATGATCTCAAATCCTCGTATGGATGTTCTGTTCACAGGTCCCCTGGACAAGGAACGGGATACAGTACATGCAGACTCAAATCCGTTTCTACTTCCAGAAAGTAAGCCTGTATACTAAATATTATCGACTCCAATGCAGCAATAACATTGAGGCAGTTCACAAATGTTCATAATTACCTGAGTGGTGTATCCAACGTCTTACACATTCTGTTCGTTTCAACTATCTGTCACTCTCAGGTCCGCAAACCAACTGGAGTAGTCCAGAGAATGTAAATGGAAACGGAACCGTTGAAACCCTGCCAGTAACGCAGGTTAAGTCCACTGAGAGACCAACTGCAAAATATGTTTCGAAAGCCGATGGATTCCGCGAAGAGCACAATCACCGGGGAAATGGCTACATTTCTATCACTGGTAAGTTGAATGTGGTCTTATTGCGAGTAGAGTTTCAAATCCTTAATTATTTGGTTGTATTTTACATTTCCGAGCCTCGAGTTTCGAATGGTGCGTGGTCTCGCTAATATACTTTGATGGCGTTTCAGGACACCGAGCCGGCGAAGCTGCAATTGCCTATGAGCATGGTGCTGATATAGAAGCGATGATGCCAAAGTTACGCCATTCTGATTATTTCACGGATCCAAAAGTTCAGGAACTGGCTGCGTTGGAACGTGCAGATTCTGGATACTGCCGTAGAGTGAAAGACTTCGTAGTTGGTCGGAAGGGTTATGGGCAAATCACGTTCTTAGGTGAGACCGACGTGCGGCGTTTGGATTTGGAAAACATCGTTCAATTCAACAAGTGCGAGGTGCTTGTGTACATGGATGAAACGAAGAAACCGCCTGTGGGGCAAGGGTTGAACAAGCCCGCGGAGGTGACGTTGTTGAATGTGAGGTGCATTGACAAGAAGACGGGGCAGCAGCATACGGAGGGGCCAGAGGTTGAAAAGTTTGAGAAGCGGTTGAGGAAGAAAACGGAGGAGCAGGGGGCAGAATTTTTGGGGTATGATGCGGCAAGGGCGGAGTGGAGGTTTAGAGTGAAGCATTTCAGTGGATATGGTCTGGATTTTGATTGAGACGAGGGAGATGGCCACGAGGACCTTCCTTCAAGAGCGCAGCTCTTGTTGTGGCAGGTCAGCTCCCTTGGGTCCTCAACCCACATTTGTAAATGAACTCGTATCTTAGATTGTAAGTGGTATATACAAACAAGAGGTTTAGTTTTGGACATCATGAAACTGATGTTAGTTTGAGGATCACGGAATGCTGTGAAGGGATTCTGAGTTGAATCATGTGGAGTGATAGTTGATTTTCCCTCTGCTGAGGTTTTTTCTTTTGTGAATGTTGGCTGTTCAGGGACTTATCATTTTAATGACGTAGTAAATGGTGCTAAGGATGATGTAGGTTATTTCAGACGTTTGTTCACTGTATGATTACCGGCACTGTAGCTTCTTGTCCCCTTCTAGAAAGCAATCAGGTTAACAGACCTCACGAAATGGGGGTTGAAATCTGGTGTGAGCCTTTCATTATCTTGTTTATTTTAAACCATTCAAGACATAGAAATATTGAGACATACTATATATTTAGTTGTTTGCTGGTACCTGTTTTTCGACTAAAATGGCTTGACATCAGAATGTAGGTGAGCATTTACTCTAAGGTATGGCTTGTTCGATGTGAGTGAAAGAATAATGTAGTCGTCAATGTAACTGCCAATATGAAATTTAAGCAATTTTGTAAAAAAACAGTTTAATGTTTGATGCAATAGAGGAAGAATTGAATTGTTTCTTTAAAAAATAAGTAAAAACTTGAATTATCATAACTAAATTAGATTCAAAACATGCCTACAACCCTGCAGCAACGTGTAACTCGTGTGCATTGAATTAGTAACGATGAAATTATATTTTATAATTTGTGAAAAAACAGTGAAAAAAATAAAACAAGATTAGATATAAGTAATAACACCCCCTCATTTTTTCCAGAATCTGATCATAAAAATCAGAGGTAGCTTCTTTAGGGCAAGTTTGGGGTATCTTACATTCTAGTTTATTGCTTTAGTATCTAAGAGACCGTGAAACTTGCTATTTTAGCTAAATCCATCAACCTAATGTTTGCTAAAATGTGCATCTTATGAGTTCAGGAACAGCGGTAAATGGTTCTGCTCTTACCCACCATCTTGAACATATTTTTACCATCTAAAGTTCTCAATTGCAATGTTCCCTTCCATAAGCTTCTTTCATGAGATTCCACATGTAGTTCAAGGTAGTTTGCAGATCGATTCAAGTCTGGGCCAAGATTAATGCACAGCAATTCAGCTGTGGGAGATGACAGTTCGTGTTAAAGTTGACATCGTGTTCTATTACATGTCTGTTAAGGGAGTGCGATCCAATGAACACCATTCCAATAATTCTGGACTTTAGTCATGACTAAGTCACGTAAACAGTACAGATTTTCATGATTCACACAACCTAAATTAACATGGAAACACGAGAATGAACATGGACAAGGTGTCGCAACTGATCTGGGTGAAACCTCATGAGGCTAGAAACTCGATATTTTAGCTAACTCCCAAGTAGTATCTGCAGAAGCTTTTTGACACTTGGAGTTGGAGGGAGTCAAGGAAGAGCACCTCTTTAATGATTGTCCGGATGGCTGTCTCATCGCAAGTTACGATGCTCTATCTGTTCTTGTTCATGGTCTTCAAATCCGATTTCGCCGAACGGGTAGCCAGCTCGCACTCTGACCTTTTTACTTCATCCGTCCGTCATCCATGAGTGTCTACAGATATAGATGTTGGGTAGCTGCTCAAATTTTGTAAACAGTACACTGCCGGGCGACCAATTGTACGCAGTCCGTAAATTTTGGTAGAAGCTGGGCAGGGTTAGGTATTTAAATATAAAGAAAAGAAAAACACAAAATTGTGTATGAGCAATTAGACAGGGTTGATGGTTTATTAAAATGTTCTGGTGCCAGGAATTCTTTGGATTTTCTGTTCATCCAGTACCAGGTACCTATTCCACTGCGGCCCTTCAAATCCACTTAAAATATTCACATGTCATTGAAGATACCCAGTAGATAGAGTGAGATCTTCAGTGAAGAAGTAAAAATTACGAACGAAGATCGGAATATAGAAACTGTATTCTCCTTGAATCCTTACGCTGAAATTGACAAGCTCATACGAATAAGAATCATCTACCTACATAACCACATCTAAATTAAAATACGAATTCTTCTTTTTTGACTAACAGGGTTAAGTTCAATTCTTGCAAGCAGAGGTAACCTCTTCAGCTGAAAGCTTTTGTCATAAACTAGGAACATCTCCTTTCAAACAGTTAGCATTAGGTAGTGCAGCCTTCACTCGAAATCATATATGAAAATCCAAAAACAGGGGTGGTGATGATTACCATAGATCAGGAACATGAGGAACATGTAGATCATGTGGACTCATCTTAGTGCCGTTCTCCACGTCGTAGCTCTCGTTCAACCAATCCCCCGCCGTGACTATCCTCTGCGTTGCTCTTTGTAGATCTGATGGAAATATGTTCTTCTCCTCCATCTCTTTGCCTAAATTTACCCTGGGAATTAATGAATGGACATCACTATTAACAATATAAGTTGGTTGGTTAGTATCCAGGACCACAAAGACCACTTCCCTGTTACTTTCTGCATGTATATGGGAGGAACTCATGAGAGTAAAATGATGTTCTGTTCTTGTAGGCCGTTGTGTCGTGTTCGCAACAGCGGGAATGGGATTTTGAAGGGCGGCTTTCAGGACTGCTTAACGCAAAGAGGTAATACCTGCCCACCATGTTTCTGAATTAACAAAAAAATATCAACTTTCCTGAAAGCGAAACAACAAGGATGGGAAATCGAGAGCAGTTCAACTAGAATGCTTTCTCATCATTTTCAATAGCCATTTCAAAGAAACGCTGTGGCGAATACCTTGAAATAATTCAACTAAACGATTCAAAGACCGCGCGTTGATGTCTTTAAAAACCAAATCATGTATGCGATACTAGTCTAGTTGTTACCATTACCAATATCGTACTCAAGCTCTATGTTGAGATTATCCTCTAATGTATGTGAAATCGAAATGCAGTGTCACCTCACTCTAACGGCGATAAGGAACTCAGCCAAATGGAAAATGAAGATCACAATATCAGATCCAGTGCTGATTTCAACTTACAGATCAATAACGCTTAATCCGTAAAAACAATGATACCCTACATTACACCTAAGAACACATCTAACCGAATGAGATAAGCCATACCTTCATCGAGCTGATATCGACCACTCCAAAGCAAACAAATGCTTTCTGATTCATCTTGTTCCTGCAACGCTCACAAAAATTGCAAAGATACAATTCCAGATAGTGCAGCCTTTGATTGTGTGTACCCTCCAATAAAGCTTGGAGACATGTCAGGTAGGTTGAGCGCTGAACTAGTGGGTATAAGCTCTATCAGCAATGCGAACTTTTGGCCATTTCACATACATTTTCCTCAATATATTCCTCCTGCAGTTATTAACCTAAGAATGATCAGAAAGTACAGAGAGGCAAATAGCTATGTGACATCTGCCTCGTCACAGCGTATAAAAGATATGAGTTCTTGGAGACGCAAACAAAGTAATCTGGGCAGCTCGAGATTAAATCAAAAATTCGGGACCTTGTACACGCTCCCGAAAACTTGCGATTGCTGCCTCCATCCCTCGCATGAATTCTTTCAGCTGGTTCTTGAGGAAGTGGTTTAGGAATACTAAACAGTGAAATGAACTAATTAGATCTCCTGGAATGATTGCTTAACCTCATGAAAATCAATACTTTACTAGAGACTGTAGTCATAATAATGGTGAGAGAGGGTTATCATAAGTATCCCTACCAAGATTCAAGGCCGACGGGTAAAATTTTCAACCTCCTACAAAATATTACATGGGACCGAAAAGGAATACAAATAAGAACTTGGCAATACAGACATGGATATTCCTCACCAAGCGGGGGGTTTGTTTATGGACAACTTGCAGGGCTAAGGTCCAACGACGCAGGATTTCACCCACCCCCACTAGAGACTTACCATCGTCTGTTGGTGCAGAAACCTCATATTTAGGACGTTGAATGTCCTCATCAGTAGTTGAAAAGGGTAGACTCCAACGGCAGATTATCGGATCCAAGGACTACTGCAGCTTGCAAACAGCTCCATCAATCCGGTACCTGGAGAAAGAAACATGGTTATTAAAAAGAAAAATGATAACTTATCATAACAGGCGACCAGGAACTTTGTAAAGTCTTCAAACTCCTTTCTAGATTAGTTCCGTTTTCAAAAAGTACATTTTCAACAAACTATGTATAAATCCTCGAATGCCTCGTCTTCATCAAAAGGAGTAGAATCAATTAAGCATTAAATAAAAAGGTGAAATTTGAGCTCAAATTGGGCACTCCTAAAGGGACCTTATACCAACCCGATAATTATAAGTATACTGATATTCAAACATCAATCAAGGTTGTGGCTTCAGTGGCTGTGATGTCGACGAGCAATGAGGTCTTCAATGGACCCAGAAGCTGTTACTCTCTCTGGAACACATTGCATGAAATGAACATTCAAATAGCTTTCAAAACACAAGACCATACACGCAATGGGATCTAATATAGTTCTTCAATAAGACAGTTGTTACAGAATATGAAACATCATTTTATTTGCTCAAATGATGCATTATGAATGAACATCGAAGTCGGGCTCCAACAAAACCATCAAAGTAACAACAGATATATCACCCGCCACAAAATCTAACATTTAAAAACAGGAGTGTCAGGCGATTGATAGCTTCAAGCTAGTGATTATAAAGTATTAATAAATAAAATAATCGCATACAATTTAAACTATCCTTGTGTGTCACATGACATTTTAACACAGCCACATGAATGTGATAAAATTCCCTTCCACAGATAAACAGAACTTGTTACAGGACCTGATCCATGCAAACCACTTGTGAAATTTCCAAGGCAAAATGCTGCACAAAACATGCAAAGGAGGGTATGACTGTAAACTGGAATTGAATGATGAAAACATCAGGAGTTATCCAAAATAATGAGAAGAAGTCGAATTATTCATGACGCGCACGAGTTGCCTTGAAGAATTACCAGTTACACTTACCACAGCAAAGATTATATAAGGGAATCTGTTCCCGACAAGACCTGGGATAATCCAACAGTAAATGATTTTTGATTCCAGTACCATTGCAAGTTCACTTTGAAAATGATACGATTTGAAAGCTCACTTTGCGAGAATCACGAGATTGAGCAGCATCAAATGTGGGCCTCACTCCAGCAAAGTCCTGTTCATGAGTGGAAATTCTCATATCAAAATCGGAGCTACATGAATATCGACATACAATTAACACATGCATTTGAAATCTTAGCAGACATCTGACATACGACAATAAGTTCATAGGACATGGTAAAAAAATAAATATAAATGAAAACGATCAGAGTAACAACGATATAGTCAAAACTTAAACCTAACGAACACGAGTACAAGAGAATCAAACGAATCCTGTCAATGAAAACGACGAGCGCATGCTAAGTTGAATACTACGCTTCACTTTTGGGAGGGACTTGGATTAAAAATGCTATAATCGACTGCCGACTTTGTGCCACCAAACTCGATGTCCATAACATTATCAGACAGGGGAATCCCGGACGTGAATTAAGTTTTATTCCCCACTTAGTTGAAACATTGACCATGAGCCGAATTGATTTTTACCATACACCTCAAGACTTGTAATCAGGACAGTAGCTTACGTACAGACTGGTTGGATTGACAGGGAACTGATATACTCATAACTTCAGAATATTCCCAAAACAATGTAAAGCAAGAGCTGTGTAACTTTGAATACCACGATTGTTCATTAAAATAAATGAAAGACAATTAACCTTGACCGCGCTCTACCTCTGTCATAGTATCATCACAAGCTTTACCGTCCCTGTAGCTCCACCTGAATCCTGGCAAACGAACTCCGCGAAGCAGCTGAATTGAAGACGACGTGAAATTTGGAGCGTTATCTGGAGAAGAAGTGAAGTCGCAACACTAATGCCATGGTTTATGTGCTTCGCAACATGAATCGTTGTCTCGCATTGATGGATACCGTCCATGAATGAGGGAGGAAAACAATTGCGGATGATGAAGACAAGAGATGCAAGAAGCGCAAGCTGCTAGGAGCAGACTGAAAGAGAAAGACACGAGCGACGACGAAGAAAGAGACTTACGGAAGGGTCCTCTCTGAAGAGCAGACAAGCATGGATGGGATCGTCTGTTAGACTTCGCACTGTGTGCCTTCTTCCCATTAGACGAGATGCCTGTGCCAACTCACTACTTCACATCTTGCTCATTGCCCGTTCTACGAAAGCGAAGTTCTCTATCAAACGTTACCATCGTCAAAGAAGACTTACTTGTTGCCATGTCCATTTGGAATGGCATGAGCTGCATCGTGTTACCGAAACGAAGCAAGAAAGAAAGAAAGAGTGCACAACTTCGGCGAGCTATGTACTTGTGTGTCGGATCAAATTGAGTAGCAAAACAATGTCAACGACTTGGATCAGATGGCTTAAATTAGACTACTCTAGAAGTAGCGGAGAGAAAATCACAGAACCTGGATGCATTGCCTGTCTTCATTCCCAGTCCAATTGCTGGATAGAAGGCATTAAACCTAGAGTCCACAGTTGCGGAAGAGATCCAGTGTTGACGCCATTCACATTCCGAGGATTTAATCGAAAGTGACGCTGTCTTGCTTCTTCTCCCAGTCAAGGAGAAGACGCCATCGCAGCGAAGGAGAGAAAAGACATCGTCACGAAGTCGAGAAAGGATTGTCATTCTGCCGTTGGACGCAGAGGAGCAAAAGCGCTTGGACTCTCCAGTGGTGTGGGGCTTAGTTTCATGGCGCCGTGTACACGCCGAAGTGTTTGTTGACAACACTGTCAGTTGGGAGAGACAATACGATGTGGATCCAATTTGAAAACACGATTCTGGTGACAGCTCTCGAAGTAACTCCCGCAAGTTTTTGTTTTTTGTTTTTATTTTATTTTATTATTTCTTAAATTATTAATGATTTCTAAAGTTACTAATCCCGTTCTTTTCACAGTTGGTAATTGTCTATGAAATTAATTGGAATTATTAAATTTTGCTAGGAAGGATCATATGTGTGATCAGTCAATAAATAAATAAATACATATATGTATGTATATATATATATATATATATATATATAATTTCTTTTTTTTTAATATTAAATCCATAATATTAAAAAAAGTCCTTTTTCATATATTTACAAACATAATATTGTGTAAAGATTTTGTATAAAGACTTCAATATGTATATATAAACACACACACACACACACACACACACATATATATATATATATATATATATATATATATATAAGTGTTATGAAATACAACATGTTTTTGTGATTTTTTGTAATAAGTAAAATTTAAATTTATTTTTTTTATTGATATTCATTTTTTTTAAAGAATGTTTTAAGATTGATTTTTTTGATTTGTAATCCATTACTTTAATGAGAATTTTGTTAATGTTGAATCTGTTTTCTTTATTTCTACAGGGATTTGCAATTATGATAATGATATTTGGGAAGTGCAAAAAAAAATTAAATTTGTAAAACTTTAACTAAGAATTAAATTTATTATATGAAATTTTTTGCATCTTTTGTTTGTAAAAACGTCGAATATTCAATAAATATATCTATGTTATTAAAATAATACTAAAAATATACTTTCATGGTTGATAATAGGTAGAAAAAATATTTATTGTATCATAAATCTAAATTCTTTAAATTCTAGATTATGAATTTTTGATTTAAAATATATAAATCATCATATTGCTTATAAGAAGAGAAATAAGTTTTACTTTAAGAATAAATAAGGAGCATAAAGAATATGAATTTTAAAAATAAATTATTAAAAATTATAAATCTAATTTTGAAATTAGTATTATAATTTTAAAAATAAATTGAAATTATTTTTTTAATAATAAGAATTTAATTATCATTATTCTTTTTATTAAAAAAATAATTTCAATTTATTTTTAAAATTAGAATCTAATTTTATTTTGTTAAAATATGAAATAAAATATCTTACTTTTATTTAATCATATTCTAAAACAATTATTATCAAGCACCAAATTTCTTGGAATAAAAACAAAAATATAGCTATCTACAATGTGTTTTTATATATGAAAATTTTTAAAGCATTGTAAGACCAATTTATTTTTTTATTCATAATTTTTTTTTTAAATTTAGAAATATATTTAAAAATATTATATATATAAATATATATTACTTAATATATAAATTTGGTAGATAATTTTTTTTATAAATTATGGAAGTATATATGCTTTATATACACTTGTATATTTTTATAGTTTTTTTGAGATTTGGGCAATGAAAGATCAATTTGGTTTTTTCTATTTTATCTATTTTATTTTATTTTTTTAATAAATTCAAAGTGATTATCAAAGTGCTACAAATATGGTATCTGCATTTGTTAATCTTTTATCACAATATATTTTCAAGTATCCACTTTCAAGCATCTACACATCTCTTAACTTATAATGATTCAACTTGTTTCAAAACATTATTAAAGAATCTCCTAATTCTTGAGGAAGTCACAAGGATTATATAGATCTACACAAGTGTCACAAACATACATATTTACTCTAATATTTACCTATATGATTAAGTAGAAGTAGGTAAAAGTAGATTTTTTTCATAATATTTCCTAGAAAATTTTCTTAGAAGCTTCATATACATTGTTTGGACTTTATATGTATTTGTGATTGATTAGTAGGATAGAAACTTGGTCAACAAGTTAACCATGTGTTGATAGCTTATGAAACAAGCTAATTATGTGGCGCACATATATAAAACTTGTCTTGTACGTTAAGATATATGTCTTGTAAAGTCAATATGTTTTAGAGGTCATATAGGACATCGCCACGTAGCTCGTAGTTAAGAGTATATATGGAAGTAAGAGTAAAGCCTTCTTCATTCTTGTCAATACTTTTTTAGTTCTTAATCTTATTTCAAGACTTTTTAATCTTCTTGTCTTTGGAAATAGCCATTCTAGTTTAATACTATATTATCTTTAAGTAATTTTCTAGTCTTTTTGAGTGACTTAAGAATGTATTGAGGTTTTCTTTCTTTGAGATTCATATATTTGACAACAAGCCATTGAAGAAACCACAAAATAAGAGTTTTTTGTTGTATGATTGGAGACAGTTTGTCATAAATAATATGTTGGCCATTATAATAGTCAACAAAATCCACTTTATTTTTCTAGATGTAGATACCATGTTCAATTTGTAACTTAATGGCCACATGGGAGTATTAAAAAATACTTGTATTATTCCATTCATAGACCACTTGTTGTCTTCTATTGATTCTACAATACATTATTGCTTCTATAATGTGAAAGATTTTGCAAAGAGTTAGATAAGAAATATAAGGTCTTAAATATCATACATTATATTGGTGTTATAAAAGAGAGATCTAATTTAGTGAGACTTATGGACCACACATTGTGAAATAAAAAGGCCAAATAGTAAAATGACATCCTTCTTTTAAGAGTCATTTTTAAGTTTATTAATCTACTTATTGTTGTGACCAAAATGATATATATTTTAATCTCTTTAAAAATTGACATTTTAAATCATCTTTATAATTATAGATAATTCTTTTTTTAAAAAAAAATATTTTCTAGTATTCAAATCTAAAGAATTTAATTAAGCATTATATAAGCTATTGCACTTTCTTGCTCTTATGAAACTCCATTGGGACAATTTATTACATGATATCAAATAGTGTTGTGCTTATGATTGCCAAAATATTCTCACTTAAATAATAAAATTTTATCTTTTTATTCATTATGCAAAAAATAAGATTCTAAGTTAATAACTTAGAAACAATCTTTGTTTTAGAGAATATTATTAAGTAAGCAAGGAATTAGTTCAAGGATATAAATTAAATAAGATACATTTGTATATGTTTAGGATGTTGCTAATGCCACCATAATTTTTGTTATTTCCACAACAACTTATTTTTTAAATTTATTTATTAGTTTTTTTATTGAAATTAAATATATATATATATATATATATATATCAATAATTTTTTTAATAAAAATTAAAAAACACAAAAAAATATATCAAATAGGTGGCAAATTATTGTGACATTAGCAATATCCAAAATATATATGTGTATGCACAATTTAAATTACAATGCATTTGAACAAAATATTTCTACAATCCAACTTCCTCTATATTTCATCTATTAGAAAGTGGAGCTATACAAAATACTTTGTCATGAAGCACAAGGCACTAAGCATAAGGTGGTTTCTTTCACTAAGAGTTTCATTGATGAAAATTTTCCTTTTTCTTATACTCTATCTTCACTTTATTCAAGATTTATTATTTTATTTTATTATTTTATTTTATCATTTTATTTAAATGCCTAATTTTTCTATATAATATCCATCACCTTTCATTCTGGTTAAAAATATGAAATATGTATAAATTTTACAGAAGATTAAACCAAACCTGAGGATTATTCAAGGTAATGAATACAATAAATTTTATAGAACACTTTTTTTTTTCTTCTTCTTCCTTTTTTTTTTTTTTTTTTTTTTTTTTTTTCCAAAATTGAAATAAAAATATGAAAGAATAATTTTACAAATTAGATCATCCGTTGTAACCATCTTAATCTATAAACTTCATCTTGTATAAAATCAAATCATTGAAATGTATACAGAAGAAAATACTTTGTTCTAAGTTGGATTTTCTTAATATCCATTATAATTTCACATTTCAAAAAAATTTTACAAAATGAAATATATTTTTTATTTATTTTTAAAATAAAAATCATATCTGATTTTCCAAGAATGGATGAAAATTACCAAAATATAATAAGTTTTTGAATAAAGATAAAATTTTACATTTACAATGATAAATCTGTTCTACAATAATGAAACAATAGAATTTAATTTTTTATGACGTTCTTTACTTATATGTTTATTTATTTATCTCTTTATTATGAGTTTCAGACTGTTTATGAATATATTACTTTGAAGTTTGAGAATACAGTAAAGGTTGCATGCCTTGAGATTTGTCAAGACATATAATACATTCATTTTATCATGGGTCATAATCTTTGATTTCCAGATGCCATTGTGAAGTTTTAGTGAACTTGTTTGTAGATTACAGATGTCAGCATAGCTTGGATCAGCTCCAATGTTTTTAGAAAAAAAGTAGTGTTTAAATTAATATTTTATGCATACATACATACATACATACATACATACAATGTATAATCATATAACTCAAGTTTAAGTATTTCTCAACACCTCATAATATTTACTGTTTTAAAACTTTCTAGTGTTTATTGATTTAAAATGTTTTATTGATCCATAATTGTGTAATTTTTGTTCTTTAAAAACACGTTGCAAATAATTTGCATTGCTCTTTTATTTTGTTTTATTTTTCTTTAAAACTGATTCTTATGATTACATAAATCATGAATGAAAAATTAAAACCATTAAGTATTGATAGAGTCTTTTGTGAGATAACTTGGTTTACAGTTAATCAAAATTTAGGAAATTCATCCGATTTACTGTTACTTGTTTACAACATAGAATATCTCAAGTTTGACTGAGATTTTTATTTGATCACAAAAACCAACCTAGTTGTTTAATTTTTTAATTATAGTTTTATTATTTTAGTCACTATTTATGTATTGTTGGCAATGGAATCGGTTGAATGGATGATTAGAATAAATAAGAATCTGTATTTATATTTAACTTTTCATGCGATTCAGGATTTTTGTTTTCTTATTTTGGATAGAATACAGAACCAATTTAGACTTTCTTACACAAAGATACTACCAATTATTACATTATAAACATAATTATGTTTGAATTTG